TCTCCTCCATTGCCATCACCATCTAATTCCAAGGTCTCTCTATGTAGCCCTGGCTGGCCTACAAGTTGCTGTATAGATCAGTCTGGCCTTGAACTCACAGAGGGTGGCCTCTCTGTTTTCCGAATGCTGGGACTAAAGGCATTTCTGAAGCCAGGAACCAAAATAAAGTTTTCCTCTTTTCAAGTTGATCCTCTCGGTTATTTTAGTGACAGGAAGCCGGATAACACAGTTGTCGCTCCCCGGACCAAGCTACAGGCTTATTAACCACCAGACTTCTTCACCTTGAAGCCACTAATCCGTCTCCTAGCTTGAGGAATTTGCTTTGGCTGGACATTGCAGATGGATGGAATCATACGCTATTCTGCCTTTTGTGTCTGCTTCTTTCACTTAGTTTGCAAGGCTTGCTCATGTTGTAGTTTATATCAGTCTTTGAATGGCAAAGAATATTCCATTGTGACAGATATGTGGGTTTCCTCCACTTTTTCCCCTAGTTATTTATTTATGGAGATCCTTGGCTCTAACTGGCCTTGAACTCCCTAGCTGACACGATGGGCATGAGCCCAACATACCTGCCGTTGTCTTTTCTTAAGTGACTGGGTTTAAATATTCTTGCTTGTAGAACCCGGAAAGATCGTAGGGCAACTAACTACGTTTGTAGTTCTCAGGAGCTGTCTAAACTTTCAGTTGGCAAACCAATCTCTCTCTCTCCCCCTCCTCCTCTCTTCCTCCTTACCCCCACTTTTCTTCTCCTCCCAGCGCCCTCTTGCTTCCCCTTTTCTTTTCTTTTTCTTTGGTGTGAGATCTCAAACCCAGAGCCTCTCGAATGCTAGGCAACTGCTCTGTCATTGTGACTCAACCTCTATACCCTGCCCTTTTGATTTTAGTCATCCTGGTAGATGAAAATAGTGTCTTACTGGGGAGGCAATTTGCATTAATTTCATTATCGACAATGCTGACCATCTTTTTTTTTTTTTTTTTTTTTTTTTTTTTTTTTTTGGTTTTTCGAAACAGGGTTTCTCTGTGTAGCTTGGGAGCCTATCCTGGAACTCACAGAGATCCCCCTGCCTCTGCCTCCCGAGTGCTGGGATTAAAGGCGTGCGCCACCAATGCCCGGCTTATGCTGACCATCTTTTGTGAACTTATTATTGGCCACTGTTCTTTCAAGAAGTGTCTGTCCTCCTGTTTTTAAAGTTTGCCTGGTGATCAGAGAGGGCAGAGCTAGTCACTGGTTAACCATAGAAGCAAGGCAGTGGTGGCTTACACCCGATTCCATGGAAGCGCTCAGAAATATCGTGACCTTGGAGCCAAGCTATGCCTGTTTGGCCCCTTTGGACTCCAGGCAGCTTAGGAGTGACAGCCCCTGACAGCACTGTCTGCCCGTCTGCCTCCGCTTTGGTGGCAGCCTCAGACGAGCCCTGCTTTTCAGAGTTTTTTTCTTCTCCCACCCTCGAAGAAGCCCCCTTAGTACGCTGTTGAAAACGAGTGGTAAGAACAGGTTTCTTGCCTCCGGCTTGATGGGAAAGCTTTCACTTACCATTACACAGACGACTCTGCGGCTCACCCTCTCGCTTGGTTTTGCTTGGTGGGGGCGGCAGTGTCTTACTCTGCAGGTCTGTCACTAGCTTGGAACTTGTCCTGTAGATTAGAATGACGTCAAATTGGCAGGAGTGTTCCTTCCTCTGCCTCCCTGGTGCTGGGATTATAGGTGTGCTATCTCATCTGGCTTTTCTTTCTCTCCTTCCTTCTTTCCTTCCCTATCTCCTTTCTTCCTCCCTCTCTCCCTCCCTTCCTTCTTGAGACGTGGTGCTCTGTGTCCAGAGTAGCTGACTTTGAGATCTTCCTGCCTCTCTTTTGTCCTGGGATACACAGGTTCATGTCATGATGCTCGGCTGTTTATTTATTTATGCTTTCTTATTTACAGGCTTATTTTACCTCCCCTCCTCTTTAATTTCTGAGTCAGGGTCTCTCTATATAGCGTGGGCTGACCTTGAACTCACCAAGATCCACCTGCCTATGCTTCCCAAGTGCTGGCACTAAAGGCGTGTGGCCACCACACCAGGCCTTTTCTACCTCCTAGTTTTTGAGACGAGATCTTATTTTGTCATCTGGTCTATCCTGGGCTCACTATGCAGTGCAAATTGGGGTCAAATTTTTGGCAAATTCTGCTTCCATTTCCCAAATTCCTAGGTGCTAGAATTACAGCCATGAGCCACCACCTCTCTGTCTATATATATCTCTTTTAAAAATAAATTTCTCCCTCTAATCCTCAACCTTAAGAGCTGTGGTGGGTGATGCCACCTCCACAGCTGAGGGAATGGCTTAGGTCAGTAAAGTGCTGTCTCGGGAAAGTACGAGGGCCGAGTTCTAGCCCCAGAACCTACACTTACAAAGTTGGGTGTGGTGGCTTACGTTTGTAATCCAAGCAAGGGGTGGAGGGACACCGGGCAGATCCCTAGGACATACTGGCCAGCCAGCCCAGCCTAATCAGTATGAGGTTTGGCCAATGACAGAGTCTGCTTCAAAGACAAGGCCCACATCACCAGAGAAATGATACATAAAGCTGGCCTCTGTACACCGACACAGGGCACACACACACACACACACACACACACACACACACACACAGTCTTGCTCAAACTCCTGGGCTCAAGAGACACTCCTGTCTTAGCTTTGGTGCTGGAACTACTTACTGGTGAGTGGTACTGCCCTGTCTCTTAAAAGGTTCTCATAAATACTCTTGGGCGATTAAGGCAGCTCCCTTGTGCTTATAGTTTGCT